ATATATATATATATATATTAAGAAACATTTTTGTCATCTGTACTTTTTTTTCTTTTTTTATTTCACCTGTTTTAATCAGATTCACCCCTATAGTCCCATCCCTGAAGTTATTGTATAAATACTTGCTTAAAACTTAGGGAGTGTCTGAAAATGCTCCTCCAGCATTTTAGTCTGGGTGTGTTCTCTCTGTTGCTGACTGACTGCATCATGTCTCAGTGACAGCAGATCATCTCTGACGTGTGTCACTTACTGACAGGTGAAATGACAGAGACAAAAGCTGTAACTCATCTGAAATATGCTTAACCACAGTATTAAATAGTGTTCATTATGCAAGTTCTTTCTTTCTCATTTGAACAGCACAACATTGTATACATTTAATAGAATGTCTCATTACTGTCTCTGTGTGTGTAGAACACTCCAGTGGGAACGTCCGTGTTCATGGTGAATGCGACAGACCCGGATCAGGGTGTGGGCGGCAGTGTGCTCTTCTCCTTCCAGCCTCCCTCTCCGTTCTTCTCAATTGATGGGGCCAGGGGAATCGTTACTGTGACGAGAGCGCTGGACTATGAGACGACAAACGCCTATCAGCTCACTGTTAATGCCACGGTTAGAAAACACACACTGTAGAGCTCTGCATTGTGAAATTATTGAGTGGAACTTTGTCAATTCCAAAGCCAAATAAAACATGTGTACTTGTTGATCTCTGTGATAGGACCAGGATAAGAGGCGTCCGCTCTCGAGTCTGGCTAATTTGGCGATTACCATCACTGATGTTCAAGACATGGACCCCATCTTCACCAACCTGCCGTACAGCACTAATATAATGGAGGACGCACCACCAGTCAGTAAACACACACATATATTTAGTCTTGCTTTGTACTTAGTTCAGCAGTATTTAGATGGGTGAATCTCACAAAATGACGTGACGTGACATGAAGCCAAGAATGGTGTCCCATACTCTGAATTTGTGTTTTTCATTTATCCCATCCAAGTGCACACACACACTGCAGTGAGTAGTGAACACACACACACACACCGTGAACACACTCCCGGACTTGTAACCCAAAGGTCGAACCCGCGACCTTTGGGTTACAAGTTCGACTCTCTAACCATTAGGCTACGACTGCCCCCCATGTCCCACAAGACTCCCCCCAAAAAACAATGAAATATTTAAATATTATTTACAATTAATATTTTTATTTGACATTTTCTGAATAATTTTATTTTATTATTTTTTACAAATTTATTTTTAAATATATTTTACATTATTTATTTACAATGTTTAATTTATTTATTTATTTATTGCATCGTGGCATTATTTTAATTTAAATATATACACTGACTTTTTTTTTTTTTTTTTCATTATAGCATTATTTTCATGACAATTAAGGAAAGGTCCCTCTCAAATTCTCTAATAACTTTAATGTGTTTGTAATTTCCATTATTCTCAATTGCAAACATGGACATGTCCTGAACATTTTTTCGTGAGATTCATCCAAATGCATTGGCACAAAACCTAGTGAGCTGGCTACATAGACAGCACCACAAGACTCCCCCCAAAAAACAATGACATATTTAAATACTATTTACAATTAATATTTTTATTTGACATTTTCTGATTAATTTTATTTTATTATTTTTTACAAATTTATTTTAAAATATATTTTACATTATTTATTTACAATGTTTTATTTATTTATTGCATTGTGGCATTATTTTAATTTAAATATATACACTGACTTTTTTTTTTTTTTTCATTATAGCATTATTTTCATGACAATTAAGGAAAGGTCCCTCTCAAATTCTCTAATAACTTTAATGTGTTTGTAATTTCCATTATTCTCAATTGCAAACATGGACATGTCCTGAACATTTTTTCGTGAGATTCATCCAAATGCATTGGCACAAAACCTAGTGAGCTGGCTACATAGACAGCATATTTGGGCCTCATAAGAATTTTAAATAGGATGTAATTTTACAAGGTTTTGAGTCCAGATAATATTTATATGAAAACTATAAAACAGGAATAAATGTGGAAGTAAAAATGTAAAAGTAAAGTAAGGATTTGTACAAACAGAAAACATTCCAGGGAATGAGAGACAGACAGACAGAAAAAGAGAGAGTTTGGCTGACAAAGAGTGATATAATGTGTGTGTTGAGTAATTAGACAATAATTATGAGAGAAGTAGCCATTACACCTGTGAACTCTCGCTGGAATATTCCTGTAATTACAGTGATAGATTTATACTGTGACCTGCTCAGTGTGAGTGCCCACGAAAGGTCATTCAATGCGAGATTCACTGCCGGACGTTTGGTCCCGTGTCAGTTTACTGTGTCAAACACACCGCCGCAGGCTCTGAGGATATGTGTTGGATGTGTGTTTCTGTCTGTGTAAAATTGAAAGTGGAAGTAGCTACGTTAAAGCCGCCTTTAAAATAGACCATAGACCAGAAATCATATATTTCCAATGGAGATTTACACTTGCTGAACTGCTGTATCGATTTTATACTGTAAATAAATAAACGGGAAGTTAATATTCTAAGTTATATTTTAGACACAAAATTGCTAGTTACAGTAATTTTTTCTCAACTAAAGAAAATAGTTCCAAAATAAACCAAAGCAGATTCAGCTACAATTAATCAAAATGTAATCTAAAATATATTTAAAACTATAAAATTTAAATAAACTAAAAACAGAAATCTCTCCTAAGAATGAAATTATGTGCAAAACCAAAGTTTAAGCCTGTAAACTTGCAGAAATGTGTGTAATACAATACAATATAATATAATATTAAATTATTTGAGGAAAATCAATACATTGCTGTCTTATTAGCAAAAAGAACTATATTTTGATATATCTATAGAAAAATAGCTGTATTAAAGCAATAAGCCCCAAGAAGCTGTGGTTTACAGTGAATTTATAACACCTAAGGGGCGTTGTTAGGCACGACGCGAAGGGGAAGTTAGCTGTTATAAATTCACTGTAAACCACGGCTTCACGGGGCTTATTGCTTTTATAAAACGGTTATTCCATATACGTAGTAAAGTTTCACAAAATAAAACAGAGCAAATAAAGTGTAATGATATTAATAAAAACAGTATTCTTCCACCAAACAATGTAGTTCCTCAGAATTAGTTGTGGTTGCAACAAAGTGGTTGCCAAGCTACAGACAAACGTAAACAAAGGTGTATGTTTGTAGAGTAATTTACAACAGCTTCAAACGTGGCTCAGCCAATCAGAATCAAGGACCGGAACTATCCGTTTTATAATTTGATATACACATTTAATGTACATATTTAATGCACACACTAATGGTCAAAAGTTTGGAATAATTAGTTTTTTTTTAAATTATTTTTGAAGTCTCTTGTGCTCTCCAAAGCTGCATTTATTTTATAAAAAATACAGTAAAACAGTATTATTGTGAAATTTAAAATAACTGTTTTCTATTTTAATATATTTTACTATATTACAAAATGTACATATTTCACCGTTTGTATCACTCCACTTCTCAACCAACTCTTCAGTCTCTGTCTTTTTTACCTATTTCTCTTTCTTTCATGCCCCATATTTTCTCTCTCCCTCCTTTTATCTCTCTCTCTGGTGTCCATTTGCATGCATATTAACCTGTGAGCGTGTCAGAAGTGAAGTGTGGTGACACGGATCTATCAGTCGTCTCGGGAAGGTCATGAATAAGAAGACAGTGATGACTTTAGACCAGTTGTCCTGTCTAAATGTGGCGGTCAGCATCAAGCTCCAAGTGGACGCGATTGATTTTGGCATATAATTTCTTATTTCCTAAAGTTGTGGAAACACTATTAAAAAAAGACAAGAGGCTTTTGTGATGAGAATTAGACCGTCTAAACATGTACGCCCTCAATAAGGGCACACGTCACACAAGCATGTTCGTATAAAACGATGTTGACACATACACTTAGCCACACGCAGAGAGCTTAAAGCTTATCTTCCCTCACACTCACATTCACACGCTTGTACGGAGTGTGTGGAGAGTTCTCAAGGCTACTGACATTTACACACAAACAGATATCAAACACGCAGAGCTGTCGTGGGCCATCTGTCAAAACACAACTCTTAACCCCCGCTCCATCTCAGGTGCGTCGCTCTCGCTCAGACACCTGGAGAGAGAGAGATCCCTTAGCTTTCCCTCTCATCTCAATTGCCTTTGTACATTAGAGAAACACTTTTAAAGCAATAGTCTGCCCAAAATTCTTAATTCTGTCATTATTTGTTCAGCGTTACATTGTCCTAATTTAGTATGATCTATTATATTTATTTTTTCTCCACCTACATATTTTTTGCTTAGCTGTTTACATGCAAGGACGGTTTATAGTGACCATGTCTTTGAAGGTCGCATTTAGCATATGTTCACATCCAAAAATGTTTTCACATGTTTTCCATATTTTTCATGTGAAATTATGATTTTTAATAATAACTATGTTGATTTTTGAATTTACTATAATAATAACTATGATGATTTAGATTTTGTGGAGCTCGACAGGCACCACCATGTGGTTGTTGTATTGAAAGATTAGTTTGAAGGTTCTTCAAAATGTATAATTTATTTGTTTGAGTAAATAATGGCATAATTAAAATTTCTGGGTGAATTATTCATTTAAGATTCACCTTAATTCTTGAAATATGGTGAAATATCCACTATATATGGATGCCTGTTCATGCCTTATAATTAAATTAAAAAAAACAAAAAAAACAATGTAATTGCGATAGAATTGCAACTTTATTTCTCATAATTGTGTGAATCTTACAATTGTGACTTTGTTTCTCGTAATTGTGACATTATTTCTTATTTTAAACGGTACACTATCATGCAAAAGTTTGTCGAATTTTATTTTTTTTAACAAAGTCTGTATGCTCAACAAGCCTTCATTTATTTGATCAAAAATACAGTAAAAGCAGTGATGATGTGAAATGAAGAGTTCATTTGCAAAAACCGATAAACGCCACTTAAAAAAAAAAAAGATCTGATTGCCGTGCATTATTCTCCACATATAGCGCAATCTGAAACCTAAACATGTTTTGTCAAAAAAGCCGGTTTTGTCCACTTTCAAGGCATCGCAAGTTCACGTTTTACTGCAGAAGCCGACAAGCGCCCTTGTTGTTTTTTGAACAGAAGCCGATAAATCCATTTTAGCGAATCAGCACGCTGTATTCAGGTCAGGTGACAAGGCTACTTTCACTTTGAAAAGACGTGCTAGCTGAGAGGAGTTTCATCAAAGCTGACTAAAAGTGATCGAGGATGGATAATTTCGACGAACTTGATGAACCTGTGATATCTTCTTCAGGGCGAAAAAGGAAAATAAAAGCTGAAACATTTTCACGGAACCTTGCAAAAGCAGCGCGTTACAATAGTGAGGGAAAAGCTCTGTGTATTGCGTGTAATCACATCCATACAGTTTATGATCACAACAACGTTTGTCAGGCATCTACATTGTCATCTGAGGAGATTACAAAGATTAAACGAATGTGTTTTTAAACTCTAAAACATGAAATGTGGCGTTATCTGCTTTTGCCAAAAAACGACTGTTATCTGCTTTTGCTATAAAACAAATTTTAATATGTAAAAAACATACTTTCAATGAACTTTAACTTTGTAAATTACCTGTATTTGTTTAAGTTATTATTACTTAATCAAACAACCCAACTGCAGTTTGATTGATATTACTTGGAATGCGCAACTAAAAAAACGTGATTTCTGAAAAAAATAGTTCATAGTTCATTTTTGCAAATGAACTCTTCAAATATTATTACAATTTAAAATAACTGTTTTCTATTTAAATGTATTTTAATATGTAATTTATTCCTGTGATGCAAAGCTGAATTTTCTGCATCATTATTCCCATCTTCAGTGTCACATGATCCTTCAGAAATCATTCTGATAATCTGATTTGCTGCTCAAGAAACATTTCTTATTAATATCAATGTTGAAATGTGAGAGAGAAGCTGACATTTCTGATCATTTTAATGCGTCCTTTTTTTTTTATATTTCTTTTTCTGAATACACAGCTACTTTTTACGGAGCCCGGGAAGTCACCTGTAGGAGAAAAAAACAATCCGTCCCCTCAGTTTTTTAACCGCACTGACGAATTTTTAAACTGTTCCCTCGGTTTAACAAATCGTGCCCACGGATTAATAAACCGTACTCACGAATTTCCAATCCGTGCGCTCAGATTTTGTAAACCACAGGTGACTTCCTAGGCTCCGTAACTTTTGGATGTCCCATGAAGTGGTGTAGTTTCGTCATCTACCAGCAGGGACTCGCTGTCCATCCGAACCCATCAAACCTGACCCTCTGGCACAAACACAGCTCTGCGGTTCATGCTCATACTGTAGCATGCTGAATCCACCTGCCAAATGGACCAAAGTTTGACAACAGCTAAAACGCAGAGAAAAATTATCTCTTGCGGGGAAAAGTGGGGAGTTTTTTGCACCGCTGTTTGCCGTTTTCTTTTGTCAGGGTAGCATTTAAAGGCTTTTTAGGGGCAAACACAATTTGGCTGTCAAGCGCTTGATCTGAAATGGTGCAAGAGAAGAGACTCGGATGGAGGGAGGATGGAGAAGTGGACAAGAAGGTGCAGGGAGAATGTTTAAGGATGAGAGGACAGGAAAGAGAAGAAGAAAGACGTGTGCATGATTGAACATTCCACTTGTGCGGACGGCAAGAGAATGGCTTGCGAACTACTTCAGCCACACTTCATCCCCTGTTCAGCTGCTTTTGTCATCCATTTCTCCCTCGCTCCTCCTCACATTCCTGCTAAACGTGCTGTAATTGATTGTGTGCTGTAATAGCGGTGGAGTGTTGGCAGAAATGAAGCATAAACAGCTCTCAGACACTATTAGCTGGATCAATGACCAGAAGCTCTCTCACTTTTCTCTTTAAGCATCTGTACTGTTTCTCATTCAGGATCAAAGAGTCCTCAAATTCAGAATATTTCTCCATTTGTTGTATTTCATGTCTCATTTGATGCATTTGTTTTTGAAGCTGATGTCCCTGTAACATCCTTCACCAGGTCCTTTCCTGAACAGTTGCACACAAAAGCATTTGAACACTTAAAATGTCTGTTTGTCATCGCATTAGACAAAATAAAAAGCAAGTGGCATTTATTTTAAATTATAGCACAAGCACACTTTTCATGCAAAGCATTTTAAAAACAAACTATAAAGCAATAGATATACTGTTCAAACTAAAGACAAATTATTTATGAACTTATTATTTATTGATTATTTATGTATGCATAATTTTCATGTTTTTTTTTTATTTTTCTCATTAAATGCTTGTCGTCTGTAGGGTTATGAAGTCCGTAAGATCACAGCGCTCGATCAAGACTTAGGTCGACCACGTGGAATTGGATATACGTTCATATCAGGTCAGTCACATCCATCATGATTATCACGTATGTCTGGCATTTAATTGTATAAACTTAAGAACATTTAATTTATTCACACTGTAAAACCTGATAAGTTAGGAATACTCAAAACATTTGTGGAAACTTATTGTCTCAAAATATTTGAGTAAACGAACTCAATTTTTTTAAGTTAGTAGAGCTTAAAATTTTTATGACAAGTGGGGCGGGGCTAAGAGCCATGGGAGCCAAGCTTTGACAGTGACATGTGGCCAAGTATGGTGACCCATACTCGGAATTAGTGCTCTGCATTATCCCATCCAAAGTGCACACACACAGCAGTGAACACACACACACCGTGAACACACACCCGGAGCAGTGGGCAGCCATTTTTTTTGCTGCGGCGCCCGGGGAGCAGTTGGGGGTTCGGTGCCTTGCTCAAGGGCACCTCAGTCGTGGTATTGAAGGTGGGAGAGAGCGCTGTACATTCACTCCCCCCACCTACAATCCCTGCCGGTACGAGACTCGAACCCGTAACCTTTGGCTTATGAGTCCGACTCTCTAACCATTAGGCCACGACTTCCCCACTTTGAAATTTATTGAGATATTATACAATTTATTAATGTATGTTTTGCTTTGTAAACAAATAGAAACAAATTCACAGGGTAGAATGACATGATATTAAATAATAGTAATAATAACAATAATATATACAGTAGAATAATATATTCTTTTTATATTTTAAAGTATTTTTAAAATTTTCTTTTTTTTACATTGTTGTATTTAATTGTTAAGTGTTTTAGGCTGTTAACAAATATTTCAAAGGATAGAATGATGTAATTTGAGATAATAATAATATATGTTTTATACTTCGAAATTTTAGTTAAATTAAATTAAATTAAATTTTTTTATATCCTCCTGATTCAAAATCTGGAAATATACTGTCATCTCCTCTGTGTTGTTGCATAATATTTCCTTCAATGATAACCTGGAATGACCATAAATATTTAGATTTGCATGAATCTGAATATAAAGTGAACTCAGAGCGCGTTTGTCATACATGTTTAAAGCGAATTACATGTTTAAAGCGAATTGTAAAGCCGACCACTCTCAGTGCAGCGAAAAGAGACATATATGAAAATGTGCATTTCATGGCATTTCTAATACTCACTTCCAAATCACTTATTTGGATGACAGTATGTAAATGGAATTTAAAATATGCAGTGATCATTGTTCTCAAAACATTCCAATTAGAGCAAATACTCATAATCAGACAATTATATAATGACTAATGTCATTATACGTAATTTGATATATAGTAATTTGAGTGTTGAGTTTAGTATGTTTTTTCATGCTCCAGTCTGAAGGACAGTGGCCTATATGCGTCACATTAGTGCTGCTGTGGTGTAAGTCTCTTAGGATGTGGGATAATGTGTGTGTGTGACTGAAAGCCTTTGTCGATTTAGTCCATACATGAGCTTAACACAGCAGGACAAACCTCCCCACAGTGCAACAAACACACACACACTCACTGTAGCGGTGTACTTGTGTGTGTGTACGGCCTCCCGCGTAGATCACTTTCATTGCTATCAGCATGAGACAGACGGAGCAAAGGGAGGAACAGAATGGACGGCGAGAGAAAGAGAAAGAGAGAGAGAGAGAGAGAGGGTTACACCATGTGTTTCTTTGATATATTTCAGATGTACATTGAGAACCTTCAGTGGCTCAGTTTTGTGTTAGTGTGTGTTGAATGGGTTTTTGTAGCCTGTGTATATGTGTATGTATATATATATATATATATATATGACACTTAAATGACTATGAGTGTCTGAATGGCACTGCATTATGTATATGAAGTACAAGCACATGTGAAGATTTAAAGGCAGGGTAGGTGATTTGGTTCAACATTTTTTGTTATGCTGGTTGAAAGTCTCTTCACATCCCAATAGCATTCACTAAGTTAAGTGGTCTAACTGTATTTATATTGTCTGTGGAAGGTGTAGGACCAAAAAATGTTTGTCCAATCATATCCCTCGGTCCGAGGGCTACGATAGACTGTCCTACCTGCCTGTCAACGTATGTATTTGCATACCTCGGTGCACCCTGTTCGTGCAGACATGATACGTCATCAGGGCGTCCCATTATGCTATTGCAGACCACGAGAGAATGGAAGGTGTTATTATTGTAATAATATGCACTTTGTACTGTAATGTTTTCTCACCGGTGAATGAGACATGAGGTAATCTGACAGCGTTGCATTCAAACCTTCACAAACGTCTCTCATCGTGTCGCTGGTTAGTCTCTGGTCTGCCTGTGCGCGTTCATGTGTTTTGGAGGAGGCGTGGCTTTGGAGAGTGATTTGCAGGGAGGGTGGGATCTTATGCTTTCAAAGCTAGCTTTCTGTTGCTAGCTGTCTCAGAAATTGCCTACCCTACCTCTAAATCATGTGTTCATATTTGACATGCTTTAAACTAATTTAAAAAAAATTAAACCATGTTTACATATGCAAATGTTGTTGAAAAAGTTGTTAATGTTTTCTGATTAAGTTATATTAAAGGACAAAACATATTTCCTGAACTTCTGCCATTGGTCACCCTAAGAGACAATCCCACCCCCAAACTCCTGCCATTGGTTGAGCATGTGTTGTTCAACATTGATTGTGATGTTTAAACATGCAGTTCCGTGTTTTGTTTGCAGATTCCGCCATTTTGAGGGAATTCAATCTATGAATGATTTATAGTTACCTCGGAATGTAAAATTGTGGGTGAAAGTAACATCCCCAAAATTACAAAAGAAATACTCCTTTAATTGACATTTTTTTTATTTTGTTTTGCAGCTCAGTTTGTTGTCCTGAGATCTTCACAGGCTCATATAGTTTTCACTGCAAGTGGTAAATGCAGCTGTGACAAAAGTTGATTAGGCCTCTATCATGTTGCTCTCATTACAGCAGCCATGAAATAGCTCATAAACAATTTTATATTTTCAGGATTTTTTTTAATTTAATTTTTTTTGCATTTATTTGATAGGACAGTTTAGGGAGAGTAGAAAGAGAAACAGATGCTTTTAATAGTATGTTTTCAGAATAGTGTTAAGAAATCTGACTCCTTTTTGCAAACTGGTTCATTCTAACAGTTTGCTTCAAAGATATATATATATAAATATATTTACTTTTATATAATTTAAAATTATTTATGTACATAGCCTTATGTATGTATGTGTGTATTGGTAACTGATATGGGTTTGGTTGGGGTTTGGCATATAGCCAATATCTATAGAGCCGGGTGGCAGATGTCAAATAATAGTACTGTTATGTCTTTTGTGCATAGTATTTAATCAAAAATTACCAAATAAAAATGTGTCTTTGATAGTTCAGGCTTCGGTTAGTCTTCCAAGCATATGAATGGTTATCAGCTAATGGCAATGATCACAAAATAGCCTCTTAAAGTAACTGTTGAGTGAAGAGGCTTGAGGACATTATTTTTGAAAATCGATACATCAGCAGTGTAGCCATCCAAATCACACACAGAATGACATATTATTCAGTTTATAGAGGAAAGCTGGAAAGTGGACAGATATATAGACAGAATATTCTGAAGAAAACGGATAGCTTTGCCATTAAATTGTGGAGCATTAATACAAAGATTTCATATGGAAAGAGAATTGTGTCAATTTCCTGCGAGCGGTTCAAGTCTAATGGTCTAATCAATGGGACAGGGATCCGTGATGTAGGTTAAACATTCCCGCTGGCTAGCGGAGCACTGCTATTTCCTGAACCTGATTCCATACTCTGTAATCATAAGAGCTATTGCACAGGCCCTGACCCTAGATCAGCGGAATGTCCCTAGTTATCATTCATAATGGTAATTGCTCTATTAGAATTCATATTGCATGCTCTCTCAAAGCCGTTGTGTGTGACTCTAAAGGGGACAATCAAAGAAGCAGGGGAAAATGGGTAGAGGAAGATGTGTCGCTCTCTTCAGGAAACTCAGGTTGAGTTCAAGATCTTATGAAATCATTTGATGAGCACACTTTCTTTCCTTTGTTAACAGGAAATAAACTGAACTGCAAACAGAACTGAATTACAAATGCCTTTTAAATTCCAGCGCAATTCTTGAATTTGAATGTAATTTGAATTAAAGTGGCAAACAAGGGGCAGAATTTCAATTCAGATTTGAATATAGGAAGTATTAAAATGAACTTAAAGGGATAGTTCACCCAAATATGAAAATTACCCAATGATTTACTCACCCTCAAGGCATCCTAAGTGTATATGATTTTCTTCTTTCAGACAAATACAATCAGAGTTATATAAAAAAAATGTCCTGGCTCTTCCAAGCTTTAAAATGGCAGTGAATGGGTGTTATTTTTCAATAGTCCAATAGAAGTCCAATAAAGCGCATCCATCATAAAAAAAAGTGTCCCACACGGCTCCAGGAGGTGAATATGGCAGTTAGCGGAACGATGCCTACGAAAGTTAGCGGAAGCTAGAGATTACTGTTTATAGTTTTAAATATGGATAGTTTTCTTACAAAAACGCATCGATTCGCTTCAGGAGGCTTTTATTCACCTCCCGGAGCCATGTGGGACACTTTTTATGATGGCTGTATGCACTTTATTGGACTATTTATTTTGGACTATTGAAAAATAACACCCATTCACTGCCATTTTAAAGCTTGGAAGAGCCAGGACATTTTTTAATATAACTCTGATTGTATTTGTCTGAAAGAAGAAAGTCATATACACCTAGGATGCCTTGAGGGGTGAGTAAATCATGGGGTAATTTTCATTTTTGGGTGAACTATCCCTTTAAATTCAAATAACTCATTTTTAGATTGAAAGTTTTCAAAATAGTTTAATATTTTATAGCCCAGATAGATAGATAGACTGACAGATGGTTGGATGGATGGATGACGAATGGATGGACAGATTAGGGTTGTTCATTTCGGTTATTTTTCCTAACCGACGCTCGTTAACCGATTGTTAATATGTAGTAAAAAAAACATGTAGTAAAAATATGTAGCAAA